GCCAGCTGTTTGCATAGAGCCCTACCAGCATTTCCTAGAAAAACAAGGGTTTGGTCACCTGTTACAAATGCCACCTAGTCAGCCAGCCTTGAGAGCCCGTAACACTAAGTAGTCGGGCCGCAAATGAAGAGGTAGATCAGCAAAAGATAGATTGAGGGAGTTAAGGAAACCTTGAGAAACTACGAATATAATATATCTCAATGTAAAGAACTGCAGTGTTGGTTTACCATTTTTTTAAAAAACAACTGCATCTCCCTACAACATTCAATAGAAACAGAGGATGCAAAAGTAAAAAATAAAAGTAGGTGAGAAATTGTTTACGTAAGAGAGTTGAGAGGCAGATGATCCGCTACTCAGTCTTCAAATGTAACTGATCCTTGCCAATACATTAACATATTATGACAAAGCCTTTATATCCTGTTTTCAATAAATTCTGATTTTTTTTTTACCACAAAAATTTCGAGTACAGTAGGACACTACAACAATTTTATAAAACAAACTAATATTTAGCATCTAGATTGGATCACACATCCTACTGAAACCAAATTGACATTTCAAGCAACAGCCAAAGAATACAAAATGTTTTGTTACTTTCATAATGGCATTCAAATCAACACAACAAAACAGAATTGAACACTCCACTCCATGCAATACAATTCTTTGTCCAAACACAAGTTCAGAACAATAACCCATTCTCCGTGATATTCCATGAATTGTGGTGCATGAGTTCCTGAGACATCAGCTGTTTCTACAATACAAGACAGTAAGCTTTGGACAGTCAGTTGTTCAGTAAATACCAATTAATCCTTTGAGCCCTTGCAACCGGTACACCGGTGGTGCGTAAAATTGCCCGTATACCTAGCCACCTGAACAGCGGTGAGCGAGACCCTATATATCCCCAAACCGGCCTGCCTGGGATAAAACACACGAGGGAAACCGTGTTTACTACACAGGACGTTACTGGTTATTTTGAAAATCTTTCTGAATCAGATGCTAGTAATGAGGAGGACTACCATGAGCGGGATATGGAATGCGACTGTGGTGATCACATGAATGTTACTAATATATCGCTCAGGAGTTCACTCAAAGGCGAATGGTAACATCAGGAGGTCAGGGCTCAAAGGGTTAACCCTTTCAGTGCCAATTTTGACGATCATTGAATTAGGCCTAGAGGTTGAGTCACAAATTTGATGATCACCAAAAATGCCAATGGTGTTTTATTCCAAGTGCTTGTGGTTCTTACATCAAATATATGAAATCAATGAGAGTTCCCTTTTTGTTCACAAGCTATACTCCTGTTCTAACATGGGTTTTTTTAGAGAGGAGTTTATTTTAGGTGAATTTGATAGAAAAAAGGGTAGGACTCAAAGGGTTAAATGTCACAAAGCAGGTCAGTAATCATATTCAGAGGTAATAAAAATGAAAATGGCAAAAAATTAGCCACAGTATCATGACACGAAAATGTGATCACGGGTTGTAGGACCTGAGAGTCATAAGAAACATCCAGGACCAATATTTAAGTACACAGGTTTTTGTCAAAACTGTTGGCATATTATGACAAAGGCAGCATAAATCAATTAGCATAATGGAAACAAAATTGTTGTACATTTCACTGATTTCACTCAGTAAGAGATAGTTACATATATGTCTATAGCAGGAGAAAAAGTAGACATTATAAAACAAAAAATTTGAAAAATCATAAGACCTAACAATTGTAAAATAAAACCAATACTCATGGCAGAAGAATCAGTAGACAGAAATTAGTCATGCTAAGTCAGAAAACCAAAGAGGCTGTTGAAAACACTGATACAGCAGTAGCAAAGAACATTTTTGAAAAAATGAAATCATTCTTTTGCATAAGTTTTATAACAACAAATACATTACAGTGACCGTTCAAATAAATAACCACAGAGACATGACTTGGTCTGCCAGCAACAGAAATACCAAGTCCAATGTTTGTAATACCAGAATCTAACAGTTATACCAAAAACAAACCAGAAAAGAAGAAAAACACAGAAAGGAACAGAGATAAAATTAAAACTATAAAAATACATTAGGAATGTGATCTAGATTAAAATACTGTATAAAAAAAAACAACCCGTTCCTTACTTTCTGAGTAATTATACACATAGAAACACAAATAATGAACGCTGTCATGATAAAATGACATACACTTGTACTTTGATTTGATGTAACAAACCAAGATTATCCAATCAATTTATTTGACAACAGTCTGCCATAACAGTTAAAGCACACTTAATAGTCAGAAGAGAAATCTTTATGTCATTCACTACGTAATTTTCTACTGTACAGGACGTAATTTCGTCCTCAGATGGGCACTTGTTTTGTGGGGTGGGGGGGGGGGGGGGGG